TCCACCTCGCACGCCTTTGAAATCATCTTCTTCCACGCAGACATCGAGAATGAGGACCCAGCAACGCCACTTGTCGGCACGCACTATACACAGCCATGACGCAAAGGCACTGCCACCCGCCGTTGCTGCCTTGCTCGCCGTCACGACTATTCCCAAGATGCCTGCCCGCCGACGACAACGCAGCGCAATGGACAGAAGGATATCCATGGATGAGTTGATACAGGAATGGAGACAGGAAGACTCAGACACTCCATCTTCACTGTCGGGCTCTCCAATGGACCTGCTGCTCGGCCGCGTCGACGAGTCGGATGACGAGTACAGCAGTGGCATGAGCATGGAACAGGAAAAGGCCTCCTTCTTGACATCTAGGTCCATCTCCAGCGACTCCATCTCCCTACCCCCATCACTGGATTATGAGAATCCATCCTACGCTTCCCACTGGGACAACATCAGCACCCCAGACTCGATTGGCCGCAAATCACTACCCGAACGCAAAGAGAAGATTGTCTCATCACCGCCAAAAGAGGACTGCATTCTCGATCATCCTCTTCTTCACTTTGGACCAGACGACTGCGAGGACATCATCGTGACCAACATCAACGACACCGCTCCGCCCGCGCCTCCAACCGAGCGATTCAGATCATTCAAGTCTAACCTGACTGCTTCTCTCCAGGCACTTAAATTAGCTGCCAAGTCCTTTTCCAACTTTACAGCTCCCAGCGTGCCCCCGGATGACTTTCTCACGCGATCACTCCTGTCGCCCAATTTCACGAGTGAGATGCGACCAAAGATGGTCGATGGCCTACCATCGCCCGAACTGCGTCGTTATCTCAACCCACAGCCTGCACCAATCTCAGCAACCGAATTATCAATGCATCTCCACGACTCCTTCACCCTCGATACCGATCTCGACCCCCACGCGCCGATGATTCAACTGCAGACATATGAGCGGCGTGGTCGTGCACAAAAGTCGCGCCGTAGTCGTGCCGCGGATCCGCTTTCCGAAGCTGGAAGGGTCCTGTCTAATGACGCACCAACCGTTCGGCAGCGCGAGCCCCGTGAGAACAGCGACTTTCTACGTGTCATTGTTCTCGAGATGAACATGCGCCGCGTAGGCAAACTCGACGCAAAAGCTGTCGGCAAGGCGCGGATCTGGCTCCCACCCAGAAAGCCGGCTCCCACTCAACCACCTTCGCGTCACGGTCCAAATCGCGTTCCCCTCAGATGGATTCCAATCAATTCATCCTGAGCTGCAGTGAGATTGAATCCCTTGCAGTTGGGCACACACGCAGCCTAATGCCCGTTACCCTCATTAGGTTCATACGACAAGAGACGCCCAGCCTGCACGTTACAAAGCGTCTCCACCTACGTAGCGCTTCGTATGCGGCCATTCGATCCTGCGTCATTGGTTGGCATGGAGCCCTTGAGACGATCCCGGATTCAGTTTCTCCGAAGACATGGCATGACTTACCTTAGTCTGGCGCGACGGGCCTAGCGGGTCTGCCGTCCAACAAAGTTGCTCGACTCGGCATAGGCACCACGGAGACCGTTACGCTGGGATTGTTGCGCCTCGCTTACAAACGTTACACAAAACGTGGAATAGAGCACACGATCCCTTGGGATCCAAGAGATGGAAAATTGGGCGTGTGCATCAGGTTTGGGTATTGCCAACTCAGCAACGCGACACGCGCGGAGTTGCATCGGGGCCGAGATCTTCACAGCGGGGAAGCAAGAAAAGAAAAAAAAAACAGCACATCGCTTGGTCCGCAACACGTCTCAACCAACCACCGTCCGGTCAAGACCAACATGGCTGGCCCCTGAGTTGGCAGCGGCGTCAAGGAACCTTGGAGCGGAATATGCCTTTTTTTTCGGCAATGCCACGCTGCTTTCCACCTGGCTATTTTGGACAGGCGAGCATGGCTCCGCACAACCCCGACATGCCGGGTCTCGCCGATGCCGGTTAGATCAAGGGTGGGGTGTTACATGTTTTCATCGAGCAATCAAACCTCGGTACTACTATACTATACAGTACGCCAAAGAGAGGTTACCGCAGCACGCCTCAAACCCGACTAGTATCACGGAAAATGTTCCGTGGTACATTTGGATTTTTTTTAAACTTTCTTTTCTTCATCTCATTTTGCAAGCGGATTTAGCATTGTGCGTATTTATTAGCGAAGCTTAGCGGATGCGCCGGTGTTCGTTTCGACTTTTTTTTTCTTCTCATTTATGGATCGCGGCATATCAGCATGGGAAAGGGCGTTTTCTTTGGTTTGTTGTGTGTGTGTGCCGACGCATTTTTGACGGTCAAGCGCTGACCGCTTCTTCATTTTTTCCCTTATTTTCTTCGCTTCATCTGAGCATGTTTTTTTCTCCACCCCATCCCGTCATCCACGGCACATATATACACACGTGGTGTGTTGAAAATTTTAGAAAGAGCGTGCTACATTGCGTTTGTGTGTGCGTGTACTACTACTACCCCCTTGGTACATACTTACTATATAACCCCCAAAGAAAGATTGGGAAATGTAGGCGCGAGCCTCAGGAGTCTCCATGCAGTTGGTTTTTACTTGCATCGCATCAGAGTTGTGTAAATACTTAGGTAGAAGAGTACAAATATTTATTTTTACATATACGCATTTTATTTTATTTTTGGTACGCGACGTAATTGTGTTGTTGTGTGCCTTTTTTTTTGTTACAAGAAGAGGGACTTCGGATACCGAGAACCGGATAAATTAGTTTATTCAATATCCTAACCCCCCAACTTTACTGCAAATGTAGTATTGCGTTGGAAAAGAGAAGAGAAAAAAAAGCATACAGCCGACAAAAGAAAAAATATATCATACCAGCAAAAGAAATTATCATCATATAATCCCCGGTTGAGACTAAATCAACGACACCCGATGAAGATAACGCAGTTTAGCAATCAATGCAACAAAAGAAGGGGGTTGGGGTTGGTGGTAATTCATTTCTCTTTTTTTTTGCCCTTCATCTGTACTTTTATTATTTTGTTCTCTTCGCTTGCTGCACACTAGTAGAACAGGACAACAAAGGAAAAATCGCTTTGCCTCAAACAACAAGCATAAGAGAAACAGCAGCAATATCCATAGCAAATATTTTCCTTGAGGTGTAGTAAGAAAGAAAAAAAAAGGGGAGCAGAGGATGATAAAACCCTCAACCCATCTATCCTCTTACCAAAAAAAAGTTAATGAAATCAAACAACCCTTTGCATCAACTCCCCACCAGAAAAGAAGAAAACCGAAAAACTGCCCCGTATACCATCTTCTCCTCTGGCGCAACCAACATCTCTATGAAATGTCAATGCGAGAACGGGGGAAGAGAAAAAAAAAAGATGACCTAACCAGGGGTCGAACCTGGAATCTCTTGATATCGAACGAAATCGTAGTCAAGCGCCTTGCCATTGGGCCATTAGGCCAATTGATTATTATCGGAAGGAATTTTTAGTACTTCGATGAGAAAACTTACCTTTAGCTACAATATAGCCTTTTATTTTTCTTCTTTTGTCAAACACCCATCAACCCCGCCGCCTCTCCCTATCTTTCTCTTTCTTTCCGATACGAACCCATGTGAATACCGCCAAAAAAAGTTCCATCAAATATCGGGAACATGCACATGCACATGCACCGCCCCCCGTTGCCTAGCGCTCCACACGCCGCTGTGTGTCGCACGCGCGCGTGTGCGCAAAAAAAAAGATGACGTTAGTGGCGTCGTGACTCTCTCTCTCTCTTGCAACAAAATCCACGTGGTTGGCACGCGGGACGTTTTTCTTTCCTATTTCTTTCAAAAGTGAACGACTAATAAGCTTACTTGGGTCCACAATTTTTCCCTTGCGCCCCCTCCACCATCCTACCCCACCCCACCCCACCCCATGCCATGCCATCCCCTTTTTACAGTAAGTACTTAGCCTCGAGTCTTGGGAAGTGGGGAGGAGAGAGAAAAAAATAATGGGGAAGCAGAAGCAGGAGGTGTGTGTGTGTAGGGTAGGTATAACAATGTCGATGTTATTGGCTAGGGAAAGGTAGGCATGGATGGATGGGTGCGGATTCGGCATACTTCCCCTTTTTAACTATGGCTATATGCAGGTGAGAGGCTTGGCGGTTAGATGTGCAGGAGGGAAAGGTTTACGTTTGCCGTTGGGAGTATACGATATAGAAGTGAGGTGGGAAGAGCTTGGGGGGGGGGAAAGCAGTGCGGAATTGGTGCGCGCGAGTAGGGTGTGTAGTAGTGATGCCAATGCTGGGCGAGGATGTTGAGGGGATGGGGTTTGCTATTGGAGTACTGTGTATACCTACTACGACGACTACGGCAATTGCTTGGAGAGGTGCGTGATGTAGATGCGGATGCGGGATTGGGGGGAAGGTACGAATCGGACCGAATATGGGGAAGAGCGTTGGAACGGGAAACGGTTATCGGGCTAGGTGGGTTTTGCTTTTGGGTTGCACGTGGCTGATGTCATTGTGTAGTGGATGGGAGCAGTAGTCATTGTTGTGTGTTTTGGCTTATCTTGGTGCATGGGTAGGGAGGGAATGGGGGTGGTGAAGGTTTGGGGTTTTTTTCTTTCCGAATGGTTGGGGAGAGAGGGCAGGGGAGGCAAAGGATGCCGGCCAAGACTGTATACGCAGTAGATATAATTGTATGTGTGCCACAACGTGTAATGGTCGTGTGTTCGCGTGTCTAACGGTCTGATGCTCGTATGTCTCACTTTGTTTCCTTCAGTCCGGCAACACGTGAGAACGACATGTGCACATTACCCCAGCATTGTGACAACCCCAATCAAACAGTCCGGGTTGTCAATACCCGGGCGGATGAATTTTTATAAATCCGTATTACTTATATACATCGAACGATAGCCCGTTCCCCCTGTGCAGGAGTTACATACAAAGAAGAACAGGGTAACATGAACGCCCGAGATACGCCCGTATGCCCCACAGCCTATCTGTCTTCATCGGCCCTTTGCGGCAATGCGGCACTCCCACATCCAACTATGCATAGCTTGCCCACCCCATGTATAGCACCGCCAGGTTGCGCTCATCAGTAGCTTGCTGGATGAGTTCGTTGACAGTGGCCTTTGTGCTCAACGTCTTGCTCAACTTCTTCTCCACAATACTAAGCGCTCTACCCGCCTCACCGGCCTGGTCTTCCTTTTCCCGTTTCTTGTGGCTCTCATGCACGACACCTGCCGCTTCCTCGACTGCCGCCGCTTGGCCCGAAGGAGCAGGTGTACCCCCAGGCGCGACACTGGTCGAGCGCGCGGTACCGTTGGCACCGGTTTCTTGATTTGCTTCTTGCATGCGTTTTGCTTTGGTCGGAGTGACGCTCCAGTTGACCAAGGGGTCGTAGCGCAGAACATTGAGCAGAGTCATGATGCTTTCCCTTTCCTCGCGAAGCGTATCCATAGTGAATTCGCAGCAGCGCCGGAAAACCCCCTCTGTCTTGGTATACCCCATACCATCCACCAGGTCACGCGTCAATCGGAACGGGACCACTTCCGGTACCGGCAGAACCCGACCAGCCTCAAAACTCACTCCAAGGTCAATGTGCACTACTTCACCAGACTTTTCGTCAAGCAAAATATTGTGACAATGCCGATCGCCCAAACCAAGTACATGACCCAGGATGGAAATGGCAGCCGTCGAGCGCGTGTACGCAAGACGGCGCTCGAACCATTCGTCAGGATCTTCAAAGCGTTCGAGCAGGAAGTAGCGCATCACAGGATGGAAATTTTCTGCAATCTTCTGCCACACCTTGACTCGTGTAGTGAGAATGTCTTGTTGGCAGGCACCAATCTCTTTGCGACATCTGTCGGGCTTGTAGTCATTCGGATAGTACTTTTCATGAGCCGGCATGACCCACAGATGCAGCGGAACAGTGTTTTGCACAAACTCCATCAGCCCAGATCTGGTTGAAAGCGGCAACACCTTGTAAGTACGAATGCCAAGGTTTCGAATACGCGTGGCCGTGTGATTCTTGAGCAGTCGTGAAACCTGGTCAAAGACCTGCTCCATGATGGCATCCTGACGTAGGTCGTCGTTTCCAGATTTGAACAATTGCTTGTAAGGCCGACCGTCGGTACCTTTGGCGGTGATGATCTTGGGCGCACTGAGGCCGTTTGCGATGCTCATCGTCGATTTGAATCCTGCAATCCTCGGCAAATCACTATAGTTCATGTTGGGTCGGACTTCAATCTGGAGTGTAGCAGGAGGTACGTTTAATCTGGGCACCTTGCTGACCAAGTCTTTGGACTCCTTGTATCTGTCGAGTTGCAGCTCGCGGCCTTGCTGCGTACTCTCTTTCTCGCCCTTGAACATGGCGAGATGGTGATAGATTTCATTGGATTGAGAGATGGAGCTCCAGTATGGTCGAGCTCTCTTGTCACTGCTCAGTGCAGTCGCAAGACCAGACGCCGCTTTCTGGCGAGACTTTGCCGATTCATCTTTGGCTCGGACGACATCCTCCCTGGTGATGGCGCCGACTTTCATTTGAATGGCAAAGATTTGATGCATGCCGTGATATGGATGCTCTACACAGATACGGAATACAAGCTCCATCAAGAGATGCTGGAAATCATTCTCCTCCGCTTGCAGCCGCGATGAGAGCTGATTCATCAACAGTGCAAACTTGCCGCTCGGAACGTCTTTGAGATATGTCTTCACAGCCTGATTTGCTAAAGTAGTGTCGCAGTATTCCAGCCATAGAGAGAAAACACGGAGCGCATCGTTGTTGTACTCGTCACAGGCCGAAAGCGACAAGAGGTAGTTCTCTAGGCACTGACGTAGGAACTGCTCGCGTCCTTGGCGCATTCTTTCGTACTCTGCATTGTCAAGGTCATACCAAGTTTTTGCTCGACGGGCGTTTCGATGATACGTCTCTCGCATTCCTCTGCTCTTGTCGGTCTTGGAAAGCTTGGTGAAGTCGTGGTATTCCTGCAGCTTGCGGTCCATGACGGTCTTGATACGATCCATATCTTCGGCTGCTTCGGGGCTGAGAAGTTGTTTGTCACAGAATAGCGCAAATTCGTGGAAAACTTGACCCGATCCCGAGCCTTGTCTTTGGCCTTTGAGCTCTCGAATTGCCGGCTCGAGATACTCGCTCATGATTGTGTCCGGTTTTGCCAGACGAGCCTCGGCGAGATGGTGACCCTAACATTATCAGCGATGAGATCAACACAGCTAGTATATATTACATACGAGTCGAGCAAGAAGCACAGGAAGGCTTAAATCAGCGTTCTGAGAATCAAAGTTGGCGTGGTCGATCAGATGTTGCCGCATTCGAATGGAAACCTCGGTCTCGCCCTGTTCCCAAAGGACGTTTGCTACCTCGTGTTGGGCGACGGCTTCAATGTCCAGCCCTATAGCCTTGCATTGTGGTACAATGTCGGAAAGATAAGTCACGCTTGCAAGCGATTCCTGGAGGGCGCCATGCTTCCTGCACACGCTAGAAGATGACACGAGGGCCTCGACTTCCATACCACGTATGGTTGCGGTTCTTGTATGCAGAGAGCTTACAAGAGCAGGATTGGAGCTAAGCACGCTGAATAGAGTTTCGCGGCAGGATAAAAGTTGGCGCACATCGCTAAACCTGGGATGGGTGAGTAGTTGATCTACGTAGTCATTTAAGGTTACTTACTCGCCAGCTCGCATCCATTTTTCCCGGGATTTCATTCGATCCCATGTATCTAATAGATACTCCGAGCGCTCCGTCATGATGACCTCTTCTGCCTCTGTCAGCACCCCCAAGGTGCGCAAGTGGACTTTAGTAGGGATGGATGCGTTATTCTTTCCGGCAAGGAAGTTCATCGTTGCTTGTAACTGATGGCTGAGGTTTTCCCGAGCCTTTTCAACACTCTTCGCATAATGCATCCCTTGAAATGCCTTGAACAATGTACTTGCTTCCGTATTGTTGACCTCGGGGGCCTTTATGTCCCATTGACCCAGCTTACGTGCCGTGTGGAATGTACTCGCAACTACATCGTCTCCTGCATCGTGAAATTGCTCGTTCAGGAGTAGGGAGTGCGTGACACTATTCATGTTGAGCATGATCAGCGACTTCACTGTGCCGCGGGAATCAGTGGGTTCCAATTCGTTCCGCCTACGCATTTGACTGTCAAGACGAGCGCCACGAAAGAGAAGGCTTTTCACGCCATCTCCCTCGTAGTCAAGCCGGTCAAGGACAGACAAGAGACTTGAACCTCGATTGACGCCGTAAAACGAATCAGGCTCATCGAGATTCTTGTAGATGGAAAGTTGGAGCTGCAATGGTATCTTCGGCGGTTCGACCATGACGGATGATCTCCTTGTGCTGCTTTTCACCACAGGCTGACCAGACGAAGTTTCTGCAAACAAGAGCGCACTTCTGTACATGGCACATGCACTCGCCGCCTGTGATGCTTCCAGGTAATTGACTTCCAACCACTTGTCTCGATCCACTCGAGTAGCTTCTTTTGGTATTGGCTGGCTACGAAGGTAGAGAATACACTGCACGATGATGCGGACGTGTGGTATCGTGGCCGAGTTACAATCGCGAAACCAGCCGGCTATAGCCTCTGAAACAATGTCGCGAACACTTCGGTCTTCTTCAAATTCGTCCAGAAGGACAAGATGAAGTATGTATGGCAAGAGCTTCTCAGCCATGTGGTTTATACCTATCAGAAGATCAGGAAGAGCATCGAGTACTGGGTCTTCAGTTGCGACTTTGCAGAGTGCTACAGTCAAGTCTCTCACCCAAGAGACTATTGGCTTGAGGGGTTTGGGTGACACCGCCTGTTGAAGTCCGTCTGTCAGGGGCTGCGCCGGGTTGTCTGGCTCTGGCGGTTTGTACATAAGGGCTTTGGCGATTGCCTCTGGGATGACGCGTTGCATCTCAACCATGTACTGCGAGTCTGGGACCAGGCGAGAGATTAGGCGCCGCACAGCATCCTCAGCTAGACTGACCTCTGTTCGGTCATCACTATAGAAGAGATCAATGACTTCTTTGACAATGGCCTCTCTTGAAGATGCACCAAGAGTAGACTTTGAGCTCTGACTTGAGAAGGCCCAAGGCCGAGCTCCAGCAGAGCTTTGTTTAACTTCTCCAAAGGCGCTATATGCCCGGCCTAAAACGCGTGCCGTCCATAATAGATAACCTTCTCCAACTTTGCTTCGTCGACACGAATCCCAGACAAGGGGCGCAAACTCTGCAGCGTCGCGGTCCAAGCCAAGAATGTCATCCCGTGCAGTAGGGGCTGGCTGAAAGTTTTGACAGAGCAAGTCTAGAGCAACGTCTCGTGATGTCTTGTTCAGCAGTTTGCGTCCTGAACGGACATCATCTAGAATCTCTAACAAGAGCTTGCTTTCATCGCTACCGCGGAACGAGTTTCCTTCTGCATTAACTTGCGAGGCAGCAGTGGTAATGAGCTTGAATGCTTTGACAGCTGAGGACCGTTCTATGGTGGCAATCGCCTGGGCATGAGCCTTCAGATATTCGGTGAGCCATGTATGAAATCGGGTGGCTGCATTCATATTCGCCATGTGTTGCGACTGCTGAGTGGTGCTTTCCTGCGATGAGCTTAAAAAGACTCGAAGTGAGATGAGAATTGATAGCCCGATACCCGTCACAAAGCTTAGCTGCTGGCGGAGGTACTCAGATCCATGCTCAAACAAGTACTGCATGATTCCTACTGTATCCTCTGTGCATTGCACATCTGTAAGGAATGGGCGTAGGGATTGGAGCGTCATTTGTAAGGGATAACCTTCGTGGGCGATTGGACCAGCCAATGCAACAACAACTCGGATTTTGCGGATCACCGACCTTGCATAGAGAGAACCAAGAGCTGGATGAATGCGATCGAGTAGAGAGCGCAACACAAAAGTATATGTGCTCGGAGACCAGAAACTAGTAGGCCTGTCACCTGTCCGTCTACATAAGCGCTCCAGTTGATCTGGTAAGTAAAAGGCGGAGAATGAAGGCTCTATCCCCATGTTGAGGCCTTGCGCAGATTGACTGATCCCGGTGATTTCGGCTAGAACTGCTGCGGCAGGGTTAAAGGCAGGTTTCTTGTCTAACGACTTGCCAAGACGTTCTTCGTGATCGATGGTTTGAAGCATATGTCCAAGAACCTGGGGGAAATGCTTCTGTATCAAGTCATAGTACTGGTCGCTGCTGACCATCTCCTTCAGTAGATTACCGAAGCTTGAGTCTGCTTTGTTACGAGCCGAGCCTCTACACGTATCCCATGCTATTGTGTATGCGGCTGCCTTGCCGATATTTTTCGACAATAAATGTCGTGCTGAATAGCCCAACTGGCTGGCCAGGTACTCCACTTCATCTTTACGACCAAACATGATTGCTTGTCCCACCACCTCAGCCTCGATATCACGTAACAGTTCGGGAAGCGAATCGTAGTCGAAAATTAGAAAAGGGATCGCACTGATCTCCTTGCCTCGATCCAACCATGTGAAGATAACTTGGGGAGCAAAGAGTCTGAACAGACTCTGGGAATCGCCAAGACACCTGAACTGAGCGACATTGGAAATGCACCGCTCGGCATGAAGAGCGGCCCCAGGTATCGTTCCTGCCGTTGCAAAGATGCGGTATACGCTATGGCGTAACAACGTGTGCCATTGGGACGCCAGCCGCGAGAGGACCAGCAGTCGAACAGCAATGCCTTCAGTGCCCTCGTCATCTCCAGGAAGACTACTGTCGACGTCTTGTAGTATCTTGTCGTGCTCGGACAGAACAAAGTCTTCGAATATCCTTGGCAGGCGTTCGGCGATATGGTATTTGACGGTCATTTCGCCACTCGCTAGCAGCTCAAACAAACTCGTGCGCACCGAAGGAACCTTACGGTTGTGTGCAAAGTCGGGATGGTGTTTGAGTAGACCATGAAGGAAGATGGCAATAGTTGTCTGCAAATTGGCTGAGCGTCTTACTCCTCCCTTTTCCATCTCCTTGACGTAGTATACATACAATGCCTCAATGTTCTCATAGAGATCTTGGGCCTCCCGGTCGACTGCATCAGACGTCCAGACAAGCGTTGTACCAATCAAAACCTCCACGAGCATACTATTGGCGACTTCTGATGTGTTGTATTCGCGAGCGCGAGGATCAATGAGTGCTTCACTAAAGCGCTCTAGGAGACTCAGGCAATCGCTTCTGGAGATTTCCAAGTTACTGCTCCACAATGTGCGAAGGAATCGTCGTGAGTAAAGCAGATCGCTCTCCGAAAGAGACACCAAGTAGTCTGTGAATCTAGCCGGAATCACTCCTTGGTCTGGTTCTGGGCAGTCCATTGAAGAGGATATTAACTGGAGGTATGCTGCGCAGGATGCGCGCAAAGCCGATATGTCATTCTCAGCCTGGAGGTCGTGACGGGGTACATCGTTATCGAAGATGGATGCTCCTACGGTCATCTGTGAGCCAGATGCATCCTCCATCTCCATGAAATCTTCATCCTCTGCATAGAATGACTGCTTGACGTCTTTGCGTTGGCCAAAAGCCGTGGACAAGTGTTGAGCTACTAAATGGATGCCAGTTCGCTTGTAAACATCAGTACCCCGACCTTGAAGTGAACCAATGTCAGGAAGACTCTTCGTGCAAACTGCAAGGACAGCATCAATCTTGTATTGTTCCGTCTGCGGTCTGGTCAGAGTGACAGAAAGGAGATCAATTAGATCAATCACGGACGACTGAAGAGCCGACACTCGGCGGTCATCCGGGTTACCAAGTGCAGCGACAGCTGGTGCAACGATGCAGAGATTCGTGACGATCCGCATCATGTCCGAAGTAATGCCCGCAGCATTTGTTGCAATCATATCTTTCCAACGTTGCCTTGCTTTGTCAACCTCTGAGAGACAGAAATCAAGTATTCTGTTTCCCATTTGGGTAGGGTGATAGTCGCTTATTAGCTCCTCGGAAGCAGTGTGCTCATCGTCACTCTTTGCCGCAAAATCCTCTGTGGATGGAAGAAGCAAGAGGTAATGAGCCAGATCCTTGTAACGCGCTGTATGAGTCCTAGCCTGCGCTATGGGTCCCAATACAAGAAAACTTGCTGCTTTTGGTGGAGCAAAAGTCAGGTCAAGACAGGTGTAGATTATACGCAGCACATCGCGAGCATTGCAGTGGTGTGCAGCCAGCGAAGAGTAGGTTCGCTCGTACCATGAACCTTGTATATTCTTAGTTGAACTCTAGAGAATGTATGGTAGCACTTACTTGGAGTCCATTTGCCAAGAAGCCAATTCAAGATTCGCTCAGCAGTGGAGCTGAAGTGGGTTGGATTTTCCTTGACACGCTCCTGTAAGATGGTAGTCATCAGTGATGAGCTGCTCTCCGTGAGTAGCGCAGGCCCACTCAATTCAATGGATGCAAGTATGGATTGGGTGGTCCCTGACACCTCAGAGAATGGAACGATGTTGAGCCTAAGCAGGACGTCCATAAGATGACATGCTACGCGAGATAATGAAATGGAAGTGACTGATCGGGAAGCGCTCTGCCAGGCAGATATCCAATAAGGCAGAAGTGACGCATGGCATGCTGATTGCTGGAAGGCAGCTCTAAGTGGAAGTTAGATAAACCTGGTTGCATACGACCGTGACACTCACCCAGCCAAGCCTAACATTGCCCATACTGAATGTACGGGGTTTTCATCGGAGATGCATGATGTAAGCTTCTCTAACATAGGTTGGAGGTCCTCCTCACTGAAAGGACCTTGCTGTGCCATGAAGGCAACAATTTGTAATGCTGCCCGTTTGGCGTTGGATCTAGGTTCAGATACGTGACGCAGGTATTCTGAAGACAACTGAGTAACGCGAAGACGTTTGCTAGAGCTCTCTTCAGTATCGCTGCGGTCGCAGGCAATGGTACGTCTTCGTTGGTCAAGCATAAAGGAGAAGCGCGCAATGGTAGCGACTGTAGACCACAGCCCTTCGTGACGTTGGTGCTCTGTGTCCATCGAAAAAGCATAAGTGTGCAGTGGATGGGCATCGTCAGTAGGAGAACCTAGATGGCGAAAGCAGAGATGGTCTTCTTCAAGATACTGGTGAGCGGTGGTTTCTTGTCGGCGCCGATAGTCGCTATATATGGTCTCGATGAGCACCTCAAGATCCGAGCTTGTAGTCTCATCATATGCATCAGTTAGGAGGCTTGCGATATGTGCTTCAGTATATGTTAAGGTGATTAAGATTTCGTCTCGCAGCATGACATCAGACCACATAGACTTTAGCAGAGGCAGTAATTTACGTGTCGTCCGCTTAGTCAATTCAAGAGACTGCAGTGCAGTACGAGCAAGAACAGAATTCACGGCTGCAAGTGCAGCCACGACGACACTTCCACGCCCAGTCTTGTGTTGCAAGTAGCGCAACAGGGCAGTCAAGACAGCCTCGGAGCGATCAAGCAATGGCGCATTTGAGGCTTTTACGAGATGATGGATGCATTGCACGAAATCTTCTGCTGCGTAGGCATGCTCGGCAACGACTGGCTTGGTCCTGGACACAGCCACACGAGGCGATGCTCTAGGAGAAGGGAAGTCGGCAGGCTCGAGTGGGGTGCGAGCGCGCCTTGAGGTGTTAGTGCTCCAGCTATTCTGAGGCTCACCTTCAGCGGCAATGGGCTCTGAGAAGAAGCCGGCCAGTGAGGTGATGCAGAAGTCTACTGCATCGTCCCAGCAGTCCTTGGACAGACGTTCGACATGGGGCTGGTATTCGAGGAGTGAGCGCAGTGTCTTGGGCAGGTCTCTTAGGAGCGGCTCGACCAAGCCGCCATTGACCGGCAGTACTTGGATAATGGTGTCTATGATGATCTCTACGGTGGAGCTCTTGATGGTGCGCACGCCCGACGCAATAACATGGCGCAAGGCCGAGGCGGCCAAGGGAAGGAGGGCGCCCGTCTTGGGCGTCCTGGCCTTGCTGCGCACAAAGGCGGCTCGTTCATCACGCAGGCATTGGAACAGAGTCTCGCACAGGGCCAGGTATGCCTTGTTGCCCAGCGCCTCGAGGCTGGGCTTGCCGCGATTGTGCTTGAGGATGTGGATGAGGTCTTTGAGGCCCGTTGTTCGATCGGTTACACGTGACGACTGGATCAGGACTGCGCGCTGTTAGCACCTACACATGCATGCATCCAGGGCCATTGTTTGTGGGCGCTCACGCTTTGCGTCCTGGATGCTGGTTGCCCCCATGGCTATCGCTCACTACAGCCACTGCTGCGGAAGCTGCGCCGTCTCAGAGCAGTCAATGGCGCGAGGCCGGAGTCGGCCTGTCGCGATATACGCAGCAACTGTTGGGGGGAGACTCTATGGCCACAGCATCTCTGTGCCCATTGCAGCTCGTGTGGGTGCGGAGTTGAGGGCGGAGGTGGTGATGGTGACGGGGGGAGCGCGTCCAGGGCTGGCCCACAATCGGCGCTAAGAGCTTCTCGCGTTGGGAGAAAGTCCATCGAGCTTCACTGTTGCCAAAACACAAAGACGCCAACCACAGATAATGCGCCAGCCGACCGCGTGACACTCTCATGGCTGAACAAGACAGCCTCGCCGCCCTTCAGGGCCTCCACCGCGACTTATGCGCCCACATCGACTTGCAACTGCCGGTGCTCGAGCGCCTGCTACTGAACCTGGAAGCGCATTTGGAGGAGCTCAAGACGCTGCTGGACAAGAAACCAAAGAACGACAAGAGCAGACAGGCTCTGGCTTCCGGTAACAAACCCGCCACGCTCCGTGCAGAGACGAGTGCTGACCGCGCCAGGCAAGATCACCATTGACGACAGCGAGTACGAGGTCAACGACGACTTCAAACAACAGACGCTTGAACTTGCTGATGCTCTGGATCTCGATGAGCTCGATGCCGCCGCCCTCTTCCTCGGCGCCCAAACCGAAGCCCGTGAGCTAGACCGCTCCCAGTTGCAGACGGCCGTCATCCGCTTCCACCGCCGCCGCGAGTATGTCCTCTTGTGTGTGCGCATCTTGATGAAGACGGTTTTGGACAGCGACGATGCTCAAGTCGAGGGGCTGCCCGTCCTGCAGGAAGCTGTCCAGATGATTGTCGGTGTGCACGGCACAACAAACTTGGCCAATGCCTTTGGTTTCTGGGCCAAGTGCCTGACGAGCATGGAGGCAGTGGAGAGGTGGTTGCAGTTCATTGCTGAGCGCGTACAGAGTACCCAGGTTGTGGGACAAGTACCTCTGCCCGGGTTTGTAGAGATTATGGACTTCCAGCGCCAGAGCCTGACCAGACAGCACGAGAACCTGGCTGCAATTTGTACCCATATGATCAAGCCTGGATACGTCAACCTCGACAACTACAAGTCCTTGCTTGCCCGCGCCAAATCGCTCGATCGACATGACCTTAATACCATCCATTACGTTCCCATCCTTCTTCGGCTTACGTCCTGGGTCGCCTCGGACAGCAACAACGTTACATTGAGGGAAGCGCGGAATTTGCACGACTCGTTGATGAGTGGACGTGAAAGCGACAACTGGCTGCTGAGGAATCTGCATGCGGCAACATTGACTTGGTGGCTGGCAGAGTACAGCGGACGCTACATGGACCCCAACACCCAAGACGCTGCGTTGCAAGGCATCAACTTCGATGATGAGGCCAATGCTCGATCCGACGTCTTCCTCAAGGCCCTTGGTGATGGCGCATTCCATTTCATGCTTTCCGTCAGCCAGGATGTGCGCCCAACGCGCTGGTATGACCCCCAGAAGACTAGCATGTTATCAACGCTCTTGCAAGACACGGCTGTCTTGAGTCGAGACTCGGTGCAGCCCGAAGACTTCTTCAAGAACCTCCTCATGGAGCAGTTGCAGACCTTTGTTGATTCCTTTATCACGCACATGCCAGACACGCTACGCAAACTCAAGGCCGAGGAGGACGATCAGCGCCGACGACTGCAACTCCACTTCCAGCGATCAACCGGAGAATACCCACTGCATCTGGAGCGATTCATGGTGATTGTAGCCTACGCATTCGATGGTTTCCCCGATGCCGCTGAAGACTTCTGGAGTGACAAGGAAAGTAACTTGTACGGATTCCTGCAATGGGCGGCCAAGCGACAACCTACCCCACGTATAGCCATGTTTTGCGAAATGCTGCGCGCCATCGGTACTGGAGAGACGAATGCAGAAGCTGCGCATCGCTTCCTGCTTGAAGAAGGCGCGTCAGCCTCTGGCAAGATTCGCCGAACTAGCTCGCTCAGTTACACCACAATCTTCAATGAATTGAGTGAGTTTGAAAAGGACATTCATGAACCGAAGAAGGCCATTCAGGCTGGCGTATATGCTGCCGCCACCAACCCAATTGACCAGATTGTAGAGCCGGAAAGTGCAACCATGCTCGAAAGCTACTTCCGACTCATTTCGCACATCTGCCGACAAAGTCCCACCGCCCGCAACTGGATACTCGAGGTCAAAGAGTTCGACTTTGCCAATATCTGCTTTGGCCTCTGCACGGATAAAGTCGAGAGCGGGTTGCGCGCAGCTGCTTTCGACGCCTTGTCCGCCCTACTTGTAGGCAAGGATGCTCCACGTGCCAATGCCATGTGGTTCATGCTTGACGACTGGACTGTCAACGGCTTCTACACTGGTTCCAAGCAAAACAACACTCTGGGGGCTGCACCGAGGGACGACTTGTGGCCCACTCTCGCCGACGGATACGACGAGTCCATCGCCTTGGTTCGCCTTCTCCACATGCTGGTAGAGCCCTATCCCGAGAATGAAGGCTTGAACGATAGTCTGCCGTTCCCTGAAGGCTTGGGTTCTTCGCGTAGAATGCCCGGTATTGAGGGTTTTATCGACTTTGTCATGCAGCATGTGTTTGCAGAACGCTCTTTGGATGTACTTGATCCTCTCCAACGCAACGTCATGCGATGGACTTGCTTGCGCTTCATGGTAACTTGTCTCTCCACATTCAATGAGAACCTTGTTGTCTTCGCAAACAAGTCTAGCATACCTGTTGACGATGTTATTGATCCTTCATCTCTTGCCGTTTATGTTGCGCTGCACCCGTTCGCGCGCGTCATGGAATGGCTTTTCAATGACAAAGTCCTCAAGGCCCTCTTCGCAGCCGCGCACCATGATGTGACTATGGTCGATGCTGCTCCATCAGACTCGCCCTTGATCCAATCTCTCATGCTAAGCATTGAGGTGATGGACTGGGTCATGAAGCTTCAAGCTACGTATCTGGACATCGTCAGGCCAGTGCTTAAGCAGCAGACCTCTTTCCAGCATTCTCCGGTATCAAACCTATCACTAGCGTCTTTCGAGGACGCAATCTTGAACAACCTTCAAATAGTTGTTGATCTTGGCTTGTACTGTGGCACAGGCCACGAGGCCTTGACGATTGCTTCTCTTCAATTACTGGAGAAAATGGCCTCTTCCCGCAAACTTGCAGTCTCCCCTGCAGGATTTGGACAACGATCCGGTCGAAGCAAAATTGTCGGCATATTGGAGAAGGATAATGAAGCAGAGCGCATTGGCAGATCCCTTTCGGGTCTGATGCGATTCAGCGCCGAAGAGCTTGAGGCTGGAGAAGAAGCTTCTGGATACATTGTCAAACTTCGCATATTGGATTTCCTGAATAGTTGTTTGGCTGCTGTGTCTCTCCGGCCAACCATCGCGCACATTCTTTTGGGTTTCTCATGTGGGACAAATGCTGTACGAATTGCCGACGATAGTCTTTGGTCCAATGGACAAGCTCTCTTCCATAGCATCCTTTTGCTGGGCGTCGAGTACCCGGACAACGACGGAGAACAATTCTTAGCATGGAGAGCCGCGATCAAGACCCGGTGCTGGCAGGTGCTCCAGAAACTCTGGCGCTCGCCGCTGACAAGTGCTATCATCATGGAGGAACTGCGCGACAACGAGTTGCTATTTATCGAAGCACCCCAACTCACTCCCATTACTCTCGAGATACCCTGGGATGGCATGTCTCTAGCTCAGGGACTTGGAGTTACCCCAAGCGACTATTCTGCATTCTTCTCTGGGCCGCCAGCACTTGCCCTCCAGAACTTTCTCCAACGTCGTGCTGCATTCTTAGACTATGAGTCGAGAGAACTTCGGTTAACAGTCAAGGAAAATATGCCGACAATGAAATCCAGGATCCAGTCCCTACTTCTTGGCACCACTATTAGACCTGGCGAGGACGCTGGAGTGAATCCTAATATTTTCGACCTGTTCGATTTCATGGAGCTCACCTATCCAGAACGCGCTCTGCCAGATCAGCACAAGTTCTTTGAAGGCGTGAGTCTCGAATCATGCCAAGAAGAGAAGGAGGGCTGCACACTCTACTCAATACCGCTACTAGAACAAGTGATCCGATTGAAGCTAAAGTATTGGAGGAAGGATGGCTTACTCAAAGAGGAGGAGCAGGAGATAGAGCTCACTGAACAGGCTGAGCTCTTGATGGCCATCTTCGTCGACTGGAATCGCCGCGCCCAGCTCATACGCTATCACAAAGAAATCCTTCAATCTTGGGTTCAAGTTGTGATGGTAGCGGTGCACAACTGCGACTTTGAAAACGGGGCTCGAAGTTCTTTCATCCTACAAACCCTGCAAGTCATCCTTCCGAAGCTCGAACAGTCATACGCCGCCGATATATTCACTGCTCTACAACTCGCCAGCCTTGCCGAGTCTCTCATTCAAAAGGTTGACTTTGAGTCCACAGCCTTTGATAAGACTGGCGACTTTGCCAACGACCGATTGTCACAACTCTTCCGTGCTGCACTGGTCGGCATTCATAGCCCAGTCTCTACAGCTGAGCTGCGGGAATACTGCTACCAAATTTGCTTCCGCTACATGCACGGTACCTTCCAGAAGGCAACGCCAAACTCCGTGCTTGGCCGTCACACACTCAACGCAATCAGGAACTGTGGAAGCCATATGCTCGAAGTGATTTGCGACGATGCCTACAGCGGTCAAGGAACGTCCAAGGTCTCTGCGCTCCTTCTTCTCAATGCATTTGTAGCAGTTGCGACTCGTCAATCTTCCAAGTACATACTTGAAAGCTTCGTTTCTCTCAACTTTATCGGTGTTCTTGTTGACAACATCAAGCACATCCCTGAGGAACTCCGCGCTGCGACTGCGCCACAGGTGCCAGTCCTGCTTTCCTATTACGACGCTAGTCTTGCACTCCTCCTCCGTATATGTCAATCTCGTCTAGGAGCGGCGCATGTGCTCAACGCAGGTCTCTTTCCGGCTGTCCGAGACTCACAAATCTTCTCCGTGGACCCTGACATCGGCCTCGAATTCGACGACGCGAATGCTCTACGCAAATATTACGAACTCATGCTGGCTGTACTACGGGTAATCAATGCCGCAGTTATTGCAAGAGGACGACAAAACGATCAGACGGTGTTCCAAGCAAGAGAGTTCCTGAAGGACAATAGGCATAGCATGGTTAGCATCTTCAAGAGAAGTGTGAACGTAGGTGTCGGGAAGGGCGAGGAGGTACAACAGGACCTGGTAGACTTGGTGGATTGCTGGACGGTATTGGTTGACGTTACTGGATTCCTACAAGTAAGTCATTTGTGTAGAAACGGGATCAGCCGACATATCGCTAATGTGTTGCAGTACGAAGATGAGTCAAGTCTGAAGAAAGCGAGGCCAAATATGTTCTCATAAGCAGCACATCCGATTAATGCCATGGTCTGGGGGATGAGATTATGTGTTATGCGCTTGACGGGTACGCTCTGTTATGTAATGTGTAGAAAAAGCATTTTTCCAAAGGTTGTTCGATTTGGCCCATTTTCATTCCACCCTATCACACGACACCGTGCATCGAAAGTCTCCGTGTAGTCACATCATAGATATGTCCCAGAATGACAGTTGGGGGAGGGATATGCAAGCCACAGGGCCCGGTAAGACTTATCGATAAGCGCTCCTCGGAGTGCACATCATCGTCGCTCCCTTGCATTGTCTCCCCAACCAATCGTGCCAACTTGGCGCCGATAGAGCAATATGCCTACCGGCGGACAAAAATCCCTCTTCCCTCCTTTTCGCCCCAATGCTTCAACCTATACCGTGTCATGCCACACCTACATTTGGATACAAAATGCTGAGATGAGTGTCGCCAATACCGGTGCGTGGGCAAGAGCGCTTGTACACAATGGTGTATCGCGGCAAGCCTTCAGCTGCATGCGCTGAATGCAGGAAACTGCGCAGCCGGGTGAGTAGTCACTTTCACGGGGAGAATCCCTGCTGTACCCACCTTCCCTTTCCTTGTACTCGAAGTTTATATGACTCGCCGACTGAATAGCAAGTGTTGTTCGTCCTGTACGTTCCTACATTACTGATACTTGTTAGTGTGACAAGAAACTGCCTGCCTGTGGACAGTGTATCAAGGCTGGCCGTGGCTGCTCAGGGTATCGCAACATGGTCGACCTCATGTTTCTCAATGAGAGTAGCCGAGTGGTTACACAGAACCGGGGTCGCATTTCGGCTAGGAAAATGCCTCTAGATGATGATGATGCCAACAAGATGTTATTTCAACGAGCTAAAAATCAAGAGCCACCCGAATCTCCTTTGCGATTAGCTGGTTTCATCATGTATCAGCCTCTGGACGACCTCGGGGTCAATTTCTTCATGAATAACTTCATCGTGGACGATCCAAACATGTCGTTGATCCACTATCTCCCCAGCTACTATGCCAGATTAGGATTCTCTGGTCCTGCACTGCGACAGATGTGCGCAGCTGTTGGGCTAGTCAGCCTTGCGAACAAATCTCACAGGAAGGATATGCTAGATGCGGCCACCAAAAACTACTCTACTGCAATACGAGTTATTAACGCTGCTCTATTATGTCCAAAGAAGGCAGCTCAGGATTCCATACTTGCATCGATATTCATGGCAGCCATGTTCGAAGCCTTGATCATCCCACGACATGTAGGCATGGATAACTGCTGCACGCATCTAGCAGGTGCTGTATCAGTGGCACACTTGATTCTGAAGCAGGAGGGGCATACTGATGTCACGATACAACAGTGTACGGCACTGGTCAAGATTGTCATCATGAACTGCTGGGTTCAACAAATATCCCTACCACCCAACTTTTCCGAGTTCAAGAATCTGGTAGAAAAGAAAGCTGCACGCACTTCCGTATATGACATGTTCTTGAATATAGTCATGGAACTGCTCCAGTTCAAGAATGAAATCCAGAACTCAATGCAAGATGGCCCTACTGCTATCATAGCAAAGGCTCTGGCTATCGACAGCTCTCTAGACGATTTCGCGCGTACATTGGACTGTCAGATTCCGTTTGAATCTGTCCAACTACCTGCTGGTGAGAGCGAGTATTTGGCTTACAAAGGATATTATCACAGTAAGAATCTAAGGTCTAGTATTGATTGATAGCTATGCCTAACGCAGACCGAAAGTATATCCTCAACACATCCATGCCCATTTATGGAACAACGTTCGCTCATCCCGCATACGCCTCCACCAACTCATCGTACGACAATCACAAGGCCTCACACCGACCCCAAAACTCAGCGCTCAAAAAGCAACATCCAAAGCCGTCATCGTTACACTGGCCACGGAAATGATCGCAAGCGTGCCCCAGCTTGCAGGCTACCTTGAAGACCTGGAAACATCAATCACACCCATCATACGCATCGTATGGACCGCAGACGGCATCTCATATGAGCTGAGATATCCAACACAGCGATGCGCCGCTGCTCACACCCCCGAATCCAATCCTCACAGTTTTTACCACATACTGTATCAGTTGTACATCTACGGAGCTGAATCGTGTCTACCCCAGTGTTACACGGGGTCTGGAGTGCTAATACTTCTCTGGCTCGATCCGGGTTAGGGCGAGTAGGATTGGGGTTAGCGCCGTGAGAGTTGCCTGGCGATTCTTAATGGAAAAGAGTTATGGATGTAACCGGGGGTTTGACAACGCT